AAATAATTATTGTTTGTTGATAAAACGTGGCCGATAAAACACTTTACTTTAACTCTTATATTGATGACGTATTGAAAATTAACAATGGTTATTTCTATTCTTATGTCGTTACGATATATCCCGATTAGCCTGAAATAAAAGATGCCACAGACTGACACATTTGAAAAAAATGCTTTAATGAAAATCTAACATCACAGCTTTATGATAAATGTGATGACTTTAACTTTCCAGTCGTCAACTTCCTTACTTATGTAAAAATATAGATTACTGAGTACCTTCATTACCTACATACAAAGTGTATATCTCTCACTTAATTTGATACGCAAGAGAATGATCTATGTATGAACAATTTCTGAAACGAGGGAAGTTATTGACAAAGACGTTGAGGAAACATGAATATTAGTAGTTTCATTTAAAGTTTTTTTTTTTTTTTTTTTTTTTTGACATATGCATCATAGAGTATCTTTTTATTTTTGCAAAGGTTACATCTTTGTAAAGTGTAGTTATCAGTAAAATTCACTTGTGTGTCACTCACATTGCTGGTGATTTCAATTTTATTTTAAAACTTTATTGTGCATACGCCTAATGTTGTCCTCAGGAGGTTATATTGATGGCAGATATAAAAAAAATAATATTACATAGTTATATATATATATTCCAAATGCCAATTTGATATTGCACAGTTAGTGTAATTTTTGAGATACTAGTAACATACCGGTATGTTTTTGCTTGCAAAAGGAAAGTTTCTTACTTGCTTTAAAGATTGATTAATATACTTCCACAAAAAATACCTCATATCCAAAAGAGTAAATATTTTGATAACATCGTGCCACTGTTGTTTTTATCCCACTTACTAACGGATAGATTTGTAGTCAACAGATTATGTAGTAGCTTATAACTAAATTCTGATACAGATTTATCAAATAATGAGCGAACTTTATTTTCATATATAGTATCGAAATGACTCTTATCTATTTGGAATTCTCTACACCAGATGTTTTCCTTGAATGGCTTGTGCGATTTTTTTTTATTAAAATGTTGTAGAAAAAACAAGATTTTTGATTAGAAATATCTTCAAATTTTCCGTCAAAATAGAATTGTTGATTAGCGTTTGTGTTTACGAAGTTTATAGTTTGCATGTTTATGCGTGAATAGTGTTTCTTTGAGGCGGTCTTTACCATTAGATATTCGCAAAGGAAATTATTAGTGGATGCTAATTTTTCTTTAATTTCATTTACAGTTTTGAAACCATTGTCATTAAAGAGGTCTTTTACTAACAAAAGATCCCCTTTGATCCAATTCGGAAAGAATAGTGGTTTACCTTTAAAGCAAATGTTTTTATTAAGCCAAATATTCTGATTTGCAAGATTTGTAAAAGTATTATCCTTACATTCATTAAAAGCCAAGACAACCTCTTTATAAAACTCAGGAAGGGAGTTTAGTATGAGATCATTGTAATTTGTTACACTTGAATTTGTTAAAAGCGCAAAATCTATATTATTTTTATATAAAACAGCATTTACGAGAGAGAGTAGACTGCAAAGCAGAAAATTAACTATTTTTGGAAAATGTCAGATTATAAATTCTCTATTAATTTCAAAAATATTATACACTGTTTCTATATTAGAGAATCCAGAGCAATCTTTCATCAAAAATCTAAACAAAATAATATTCTCCTTCATTTGGGGTAACCGTGAAAGAATAAAACGCAAAACCTTAATAAGAAGCATAAACGAAGGCGGAATCGGTATCACTGACTTTGAGTCTAAAGTTAAAGCTATTAAGCCTCATGGGTTACAAAGATTACAAAAAAAAAAAGTTTCATTTAAAGTTATCATTTCGTAAGTTCTATGGTCGATACAATTACAATGTCAGCGAATACAATTTAACATCAAGTCCTATGTAGTTTGACGTTTTTCATACTAATTGTAAGGCCATAATCGGATTCTTTTCTCACTGAATTGATGACGGATTTTTCCGTTTATCCCGACCATGACAGGAACACACGGCGGGTGTGACAGGTCGGCAGGGGATGTTCATTCCTCTAAGGCACCTGCTCCCATGTTTATGAGGTCCATGATTATTCTGCTCCAAATTTGTATTGTTTTTAAATTTTTTAGCTTGTGTTTGATATCTCCCATATATTTTAATCCGAAAGATCAAACCTTCTCGTCTTTTTTTTTGTAATATGCCTGTTAGAATAGCAATAGCGTATAAAATAGTAAATTTTAAGATAAGAATATTGAAGGGAGAAAATGGAGTTTCCATTGTGCAAATAAATAAATAAAAATCTTTTTTTCACAAAATTATTATAATTTTTAAAAATTCAGTTAAAATATTCCAGCTGAGCCTAATTTTACCATTTTGTTTTTAATTCTCAACATTGATTTTGATCAACAACAATAAAATTGGATTCAAATGGAAAACTGTTTGTATGAAGCGTTGCTGACCCTCTTTCCAGAAATTAATGTTATGCCTAATCATAATATGAAGAAAAGATTTTGTATATACAAAGATCTTTTTTTTTTTATCTCAGAATAAAATAAAAAATAGGAGGCATATATGAAAAGAATATTTAATATCATACTTTAATTACTTTGCATTAGAAAACATAATAAAGCGTTGCTTTTAAAATCAACATCATATTGTTTTCTATGCTTGTAAAATGAAATACATCCATCTACAAACGCCATCTTTCCATTATCGCCCTTGAAAATATTTTTAAGTGAAAAAAATGTATTAAATGATTTAAAAAAATATTGCATATGAATTTTTCGAAACAAATAAAAGAATCATACATTCATAGATGAAAAAAAAATTAATTTTCAACAGTTTAAATGAAATGATTGTACATGTAAATGTTTTTGTAAAATACTGTAAGCAATTAATGAAAATATTGGGGGAAAATGGAAATCAACATTTGTACAACAGATCAAATTTCACTGAGTTGAAAATGATATGGTTCTTATGGCAACCCTTTTGCTATTCATACGGAAAATAAGATTTATCTTAAAATTACAAAGATATCTCTCATTTTAAACTGATATCTTTTTCTTAGAGAGATATCTCTTAAATTTAGAGCTATATCTCTTATACTTAGAGAAATATCACTTCCACTTATTCAGATATCTCTTTCTCCTTGATAGAAATCCCTTTCGTGAAAAGAGATTACAGAGACAATTATGATTTGAGTTGGAGCAAATTTATATATCAGCTAATGACAACTGTTGGACCTGTCAGTATCAGTCAGGGGGTTATTTGATGTTGATGAAATTCAATTTCAAATTATTTTGTAAAATTTGTTTTCCTTTGTTATATCTCTTAAATTTAGAGCTATGTCTCTTATACTTGGAGAAATATCTCTTCCACTTATACATATATCTCTTTCTCCTTGATAGAAATCCCTTTCGTGAAAAGAGATATCTCTTTTGTGAAAAACATTTAAGAGAGATATTTCTTTCACATAGAGAACCATCTCCTTCACCTAGAGAGATATTTCTTTTACTTTGGGATATAACTTTCCATGTTAAAGAGATATCTCTCAAGGTGAAAAAATATCTCTCAAAGTGAGAAAGATATCTTTGAAAAGTGTCGAAAAGAGATATCTCTCAAACAAAAAGAGATATCTCTTTATTCTAAAGAGATATCTCTCTTCATTATTGCAGCCCGGAGGACCGGGCTGCTCTATACATATAAGTTTAAGTGTTGGTGTAAAGGGATTGAGGTGGGAGACGTTATTCATAATTAAAGTTTTCTAATCATTAAAAAGATTATAAATCAGAGTATCTTTTCCTTTTATAAATTACGAGATACACAATATATTTATTTTCATAAAGTGAATCTTTAAAATAAAATATACGTGTTTTTCATATTTAATACATAAAGTGGCTTATCATTTATTGTCCAAAAAAACGACAGGTCCCCTTTATTAGAACATCGAATTTTACTTATCGCATAAAAACGTACGTCTCACAGTTTGTGTTTTATATTCTTAAAAAATGAAATACTATTTTGGAAATAGGTGAAGCATGTGTTTGACTTTACTTTATATTTTATGCAGCCAACATTTACTTGAGATAAAGTTTAAAAGGGAATAACAATTGTTTTTTTTTTTTTTGGTCCGATTTCCAACCGACTATGAAATTTCAATATCTTCTCTACTATCGTCTCCATCATTTCTAATGACTATGTCTTTTTCATACATATCGAAGCGGTTTGATGATCATGTTTACTTCATTTATTTCCCAATTGATGATTACATCAATGTTTTCTTGTTTATATTTAGAGTGAGTTTTTAATGACTTCTCCCTATACCGATAAACTACTTGTATATATTTCGAATTTTTAAAATAATGTACTTCCGTTATTAAAACGCTTGTAACTTACAGTAAAGGGAGAGGTTATTAAAAACGCAGTTTGAATAGAAATAATAAAGAGATATCTATTTTCGACACCTTTGAAAGATATCTCTTGAAAGATTTCTTCTTCACTTTGAGAGATATATTTTAAGATAAACAAAGAGAGCTATCTCTTTTACTTTGAAGAATATCTCTCTAACTTGAATAGATATCTCCCAAAATAAAAAGAAATATATCTTTAGGTGAAAGAGATATTTCTCTAATGTTCAGAGATATCTTTTTCCCGAAAGAGATATCTCTCAAGGAGAAAGAGATATCTGTTTAAGGGGAAGATATGTATCTATTAGAAAAAAGAGATATCTAAATTAGTGGAAGAGATATGTCTCTAAGTAAAGAGCTATATATCTATTAAAGTTTAAGAGATATCTCTTTCTCAAAGGACATGAGAGATATCTCTTTAAATTGGGAGACATCTCTTTTTTTAAGAGATATTTCTCTGTAATTTTAGAATAAGTTTTATTCTCCAAATAAAAAGCAAAAGAGCTTCCCATACAATAGAATTTAAGAAAAAGAAAATTAAGCTACAAAAATCCATCCTAGTGTTTTTATTATGCCACAAACAGGCTGTCGTACATAGCGATAAATTAGGACCTAGTCACACGTAGCGTAAATCAACAGAGGCCCAACAGGTAGTGAAAGACTTTTTTTAATTAATGACATCATAGATAATTTTTGACAAATTTGGATTTAAAAAGATAATGTTAAAGTACGGTAAATGAAAGAAGTAGATATATCTACTTTCGCTTTAAACAGTTTAACTAAAGGGACAAATATTTAAATTTAAGAAAAAAAAAAATGGCGCAAATTGAAAAAAATGGAATTTGAAAAAAAATAAGGAAATAACATGTCTGGTTTATTTTGCATGATATGTTTTTGTTTCGTGTTTTGCGTTTATAAACTTAATACTTATCTGGAAAGAGGATAGCCAAATTAGCACTGGTTTGATACCAGGTATACATGTTTATAGCTTATGATTGTAGAGTCTAGGGGAACCCCACCCCAATAATTTTATTATTTGAACATTTTATTGATGTCAAAGGGATTGCAAACAAGTTACAAAAACTAAGATAGTCCTCTCGATAAAGAGAATAGTATGGAAAACATGCATGGATATTCAATATGCTTATGTCTCCTAAATACCGTTTGATCCTCCTTTTTTGTTTGTTTGTTTGTTTTTTGTTGTTTTTTTTTTTTTCCCTGTCAAGGAATGGATTTTTGATGCTGACACTTTTTGATGAAACTGTTTTTCGTTATAAACACACCATCTTTTTATTAATCTTTAATAACAATGCCGGAATAAAACGTGGAAGACCAGGCGAAGATGAGATGCAAAGCGTGAATTCTATATGGTGCTCTTGCATATAAAACAAAAAACCCTGCCTATTATCAGTCCTATAATTTTTGTTTAAAATACTTATAGAGACAATTATGGATATATGGCTTTGGAACAAATTATCAGCTAATGGCAACTGTTACGCGTATTAGTATCAGTCAGGGGGTTATTTGATGTTGATATTGATGAAATTCAATTTCACATCGTTTTGTAATAGTTATTTTCCTTTTTAGTGTATCATGCATATAAGCATTGGATTCTTATTTTTGGGCGTCGTCGGTCCTCCAAAAATAAGAATTCAATGCATTGATGTTATATCTAATGTACTCTCTCCACAATTGTCTATTTTGTTTTAAATTCTTTAAAATGAATTTCTAAATCAAATTACAAAACTCAGAAAAAGTGGAGAGGGAGATGAGGTCTCCAGTCCTCTTTTACATTCTATGGACCAGTATTACGAGTACTGACTGGGTGACCAGGTAAAACTCATGTCGATTCCTGAGTAATGTGGGGATAGATATCTTCATACTTGCTCCCATTTTAAATCAAGTTTCTTTATCAACTTTAATGCTGTATTCTTCATGTCTGTTTTGTTTTTAGGAGTACATGTATCTGTAGTGGTTTTGATGATGCAAGGCAGACCATTTCCACAAATGAAATGGAAAGTCTTTTGTGTAATTCAATTGATACATTTAAATTGTGTCAATATGCAAAGCTTTGTTCCTGTGTTATCTTGCCCTGAAACCAAGGATGAGTGGACTCAAAGAAGCAATGCTAAAAACTGCCAGGGATCTACACCAGATTATCTGTGTGCTTCAATACAGAACAATCCAGGCAGCTTTGGGGAAATTTGCACTGTGCTTGGTCTGGCTAATCCTAGTATGTATTTATGTTCACCTCCTAAATAATAATAATTTTTTTTTTGAAAATAAATAATGTACAGATAAAGGGCGACTAATACCGATCATTCACATAATTTCTATTTACCCGATTTAAAGCCTCTTGGATAAAAGTTTGTTTCTATTTATAATTTTATAGAAAAAAAAATTCAAAAACATTGTGCATATTTTTGAGAGGCAAATGAATGAAAATATTTCATTATTATCATGATGTATGATTTTGAAGGAACTTGTGCTGTACTGAGTAAATCGACATACAATATGGATTTTGTTTCTTGTCGTGTAGCAAGTGGATGTCCAGCAACACATTACACACCATCTGAATTGTATAACTGTGAGTTTGATACAATAGTAACTGTATGTTTAAGATTCATTTATCTCTGGTTGAGAGAAAGAAATCTCTCTGGGAAAACTTAAAGAAATATTTTTAAAAATTTTAAAAATGCATTTTCTTTCAAATTTACACAACAAGTTATGCTGACATTGTCTGCACAATAATTTGTCATTTAGATTTCCTTTTGAAAATGATCAAATGGATGAATAGAGGGATGGTGAACCTGAAAGTATTCTTTAAGGTTTTTTTTAAGACAAATATACTATACTCCCCACGTAAAAGCACTTTGGGGAGCCAGGCTTGCTCTGATTAAGACCTTGGTTGAACTATTATATAATTTAAAACAAAAAGGACTCTAACAACTCCTTGTTGCAACCAACTGAGAGGAATCAACAAAATCTGTTTTTAGAATTATTATATTCAATTGTTTTTAGAAAATAATCATAATGATGGAAATGTCAAAACTTTGATGACTTACTCAGTAGTATACATGTACATACATGTATACTTGTATCTGGTAAATAGCAGGGAATGCTTTTGATGGCTGAGATATCCAGTCTCCATTGTTTTACTGTTAAGTGGCATTATTTGACATATCAGTCTCTCAATTCTGTGCACTAGCTAGAATATATAGAACAAGGTACAGTTTCAATACGAATTTGGTCCTGTATTTTTTTTCTTAATTAATATTCATCCTTTCTGAATTGTTGCAATTCCATGCAGTAAAAACCTAAAAATCTTTTTTCCAATATGACCCTGCATGCTGCTAAATGCTGGTTGTAATGCCATGAACTTCTGTATTTTCCCATATTTTATTTTTTAAAAAGTTACGAAAATCATTAAATTTCATTGGAATTTTCTTTTAGAAAAGATACAGCACATGCATCGCCCACACAGATTTTTATATGCGTGATTTTTCAAAGCATTTTACACCATATATCCAAAAATTGAAGTGGATGACGGTCGCGGACACTATTTTCTAAAGGAAAATAACCACAGAAATGAGTCTGTTTTAGGTTATTCTGCATAAGACTTGGAAATGTAGTATAATAAAGACGTCATATTTCCAGAGTGGTCATCTATCATGCCTTATTTATTATTAGTAATACTAACAATTTCAAGAACATTAAAATTGTAGGACACAATAAAGACCAAACTGTACCTTCTTCTTACTTGAGAATTTCAATGCTCCAGTACTTACCGATTCTGGAAAAACTGCAAGGATATCATAACCACAAAGAAGGTCAATGGAAAATTAAAATATACTTTAGAATTGTTTTCATTTGTCATCCTCTGGAAGATATAGATCATTAGTAGCAGATGAAACATGGTTCGTTGCAATGTACATACAAGGACCCAACTCATACTCTTCAATGCATACTGGTCAAATGCTGGTCAAATGAGGACTAAATAGATAGTGAAGAATAGGCCCATTATCTAAGAAATGTCCTTGATAATTAATTTAGAAAACGTACCGGGGCATGTGCAATAATCATGATTTCAAGAATTAAGGTGCAACATCTTTGTAAGACTATTCAAGGTCTGGACTAGATCCAGAAGCATCAACAGGATTACTGAACTATTTCATCTTTCCAAGAAGTAAAAATACAATAAATTTTAAGAGTCCATGTAGCACACTTTAAAAAAGAACCTTTGATTAAGTTTAACAATTTTAGCTGTTTCCTAATTCTTAAGAAAGTTAAAATGATATTTATTTTTCAGGTTAATGTTAAAAAGACAATAATTCACCAACATTTTTAATTCGGTTTTAGTTGTAAATTCTTTTTGTAAACTGGGACCCTGGTTTTTATATATCAAATTCCAAAATCTAATGCTACATGTACCTAATAGCAGGGGCATTGGCATTAACATCACAGGTTAAAGGTTTTGGAGCATAGGTTTATTTCCAATAATTGTAATTAAATTGCATGGATGAAACAGCTTCAATGCACACTTGGAAGCTTGCTTCAGATGCTGATTTAATTAACATTTTATGAAAGATTGAACATTAACAGATTGTTTGAGAAAGTTTTATAGTAACCATAATTCCTCACTATACAAAAAATGAGACTTAATCTTTTGTGAAAATGTTACCGAATACTAGTATACATGTATCAATGAAAGTGTTAATTTAATTTTTCTTATTTTCATTTTTTAGTCAATTACATTTTTTTGATTAGATGCACATTTGGAGCTCGCTGGTTTAAAAAAAATGAGACGGACGATCAGAAAGCTGCTACAATGCCATCTAGTGAAAAAGTGTATATAAATTGCACACAAAAATGTGTGCCATTTTCCATATATTGAATATATATATTGAAGCTGCCGTATAAATATGTAAGCAACCGTGTGTTCTTAAGCTAGCATATTCTTAAACTCCTTCCACAACAAAACATTCCCAGAAGGCGTTTGTAAAATCCCTAGTCCAAAGATATCTTTATAAGCATGCCTGCTGGGTATTATATTCAGACCATCGAAAGTAAGGCAAGAAAAGTCGGTCCAGCGCGCTTGGTGTATGATTTGTACATACTGTTTTGTTGTAGAAATAGTAAAAGAATATGGTAGGAAGTTTTGATTAGTACTATTTTTAAATATACGGCGAAATAAATCAAGAAACAATGCATTTTTTTGTGCGCAATTAATTTACACTTCTTTCAATCAGGCACTGTAGCTTTCAGGTTTTCCATCCAATTTTTTTTTTCGACCTGTGAGCTACAGATCTGCAGCTATTTCTTGACATATTCCCTTGCCAGTATTTCAAGTTATTAAGATGAAAACTTAACACATGTTTTACTTTTCTTTCCAGACCCAGTGTGTTTCAAAAATTTTTATGGGTACGTTGCAATAGTATTAAGGTTAAAGAAAATTTTCATATGCAGTAATAGTTATATGATATAGGATGAGAGCACCAATTACTTGTGTATGTGTGTGAGGGTGTGTGTGTGAGAGGGTGTGTGTGTGTGTGAGGGTGTGTGTGGGTGTGTGTGAGGGTGTGTGTGTGAGGGTGAGAGGGTGTGTGTGGGTGGGTGTGTTTGGATTGATTGATTGATTGTATCTTGTTTAACGTCCCTCTCTAGAAATTTTCACTCATATGGAGACGCCACCACTTGCCTTTGGAGAGCTGGAAATTTTGTCCTATACTCAACATTCAGGGCCATTGAGCAGGAAGGGATCTTTTTTCGTGCCAGCACCTACTGCGACACGGGACCTCGATTTATACGGTCTCATCCGAAGGACCGGTCTTCACGTCCCACAGTGGGATTCGAACCCGCGACGGAAGGATCAATTCCTTACCTCGTGACTCTAGATCGAGCAGACGCTCAAACCACTGCGCCACACGAGAGACTGTGTGTTTGGAAGTGAAGGAGACGATGTATGTTTTCATGCAGCCAAATAAATTGAAAAAGTTACAATCAAGTGAAATAAATAAAGCCATTTAAGTACACTTTGGTGTTTAGAATATTCTGTGTTTTTGCAGTGCAACTACACAGTCCTCCATAACTACACAAGGTACAGCTGAAGTAACATTGATGAGGGAAGCTCCGAAGTAAGTATGTTATAACAGTATCATACAAAAAGTTAATGCTAGATTTAAGTTTTTATATAGAAATGCATCCTGTCTTAGTACACAGTCTAGAAAGACCCTATGTTCTGCCTTGATACAATGTTATTTTGACTATGCCAGTTCTTCTTGGTATTGTGGAATAAACAAGCAACTTAAATACAGATTACAAGTAACCCAGAACAAAGTAGTACGGTTCATTTTAAACCTTAGTCCTAGAGAGAGTATTTCTAACAATATTTTAAACTCTAAATATGTTAAGAGTGGAGGATAGAGGTAAACAATTAAGATTAAATCATGTTTTTAATATATATCTTGGTAATGCACCAGCTTACCTCCATGATCATTTTGTATTAAATAATAATATCACAAGAAGTGCAACAAATAAGAATTTTATTATACCAAAGATAAAAGGGAAAGAGTCTTCATGTTTTTTCTATAATGCTATCAAAGATTGGAATACATTGCCACTGGAGATCACAGAGGTGAAAACAAAAAGTTTTAAGAAAGCTGTAAGATCTTTTTTATCTACAAATGCTAGTGTTACTACATAAAAAGCTTGTCTAATTTTATCGTTTATTAACTATTTTAGTACTATAAGCATTTTGTGATAATTATAAAGACAAAATGTGCTACTGTAAACATGTCATTTTTCAAAGCATTATGCTATACTCATAAAAGTACCTGCCTAAATTCCAATGTTTATGTAATTTTGTTATTTTTTGTTTACTAACACGGCTGTTATTTGAGGACCCCATTGGAAATAAGCTTTTTTAATAAGGCTTTTATGGGCTATCATTAGGTAATATCTATCATCTGTATGTCATGCAATTTATTTAATAATAATAAGATATATATGTTAAATTAGATCTTCCTTAAGTGGCATACTGCTGAGATAATGTGTGTGTGTGTGTGTGTGTGTGAGGGTGTGTGTGTGTGTGTGTGTTTTTCTAGTAGCATGCTAGTCTGTAATGTTTTAATATGTGAATCATGACATTCTGTGATATTTTTACCTGAATAACATGAAATGAAAGGAAAAAAAAACAGATTCCATCCATGTATTCAGTTGAATGATTTCTCAGAAATATTCTTTATACAATGATTATTTTCCTAGGCCTGACAATGAACGATCTGGTACAAATGTGGGGATTGTTTTTGCTATAGTGCTGATTCTTCTAATAGCCATTGGTTTGGCTACTGTATTTGTTCTGTATCGCAAAAGGAAGTTGCCAGCCCAGATGCAAATGTTTTTGACGGAACGTATTGATGGTACATAAAACCTTTTATGTTTATATGTAATTTTTATTCATCAGAAATAATATAGATTGAAAATTTTTAAATCTCTGTTTTTTTTTAAATTTTAGGAAGCAGATTTTTACATTGGTTTAGGAACGACACCAGAAGGAATAGGAATTTAGCAGGTATACTGAGAAAATCATTATAAGAGTAAGACCATTTTGATATTATGTTTAAAAGGTATAATTTCAGGATTTATTCCTACAACTTCAACTTTATTTTCTGTTCAAATATTTAAAAAAATGCACTCCAAAATTTGGAGTGACATTTTGAGAAACACCGTAAACTGTAAAGAATTGGGCAAAATTTTCATTGAAAAATAAGATTTTAAGGAGACATTTTTAATTATATAGAAAGAAGCAGAGAAGAGGGAGAAATGATGATCTTAAATATACCAGAACAAGCGGTTCATATAGAGCATGAACAAGGTAATCTTTCCCATGACTCTTCTTTTGTTGGTAAATTATTCACATTCTAGATAGATTTTGATTCTCGTACTTCCAAATTTAAATTTATGGCCTAAGAGCTAGATTTTGATAAAGTTCAGGATAGGGCCACAATATGGGAAAGTATTACATGGAAAAAAAATCTATAATGCGTTTAAAAAAAAATACAGGTTAAAAAGAGATGAAACCTTACGATGGTTTCTTGTGTCCAAAATTGTAAGAATGCAGTGGTGGGACGGGGATCAGACTGTCAAACATTATTAGGAGAATTTACTAAAGAATGACAGGCAATTTAAATTTTTTTGAAAATATCAAATTGCTTTACTTATTTTTTAATCATAAGAATTCTTATTATTGACTTTTATTTGATAAAAAATATTACTAGATTTAAAAGACTTGATGAAATACATGGTCAAAATTGTAGTGTTTAGGTGAGCTTTTCTGATCGCATTTTGTCATGCACCTGTCTGTCCATCCTTCTGTCTGTCTGTACACTTTTCACATTTCGTCGCCTGAGAATTATAAGGTTCTATGTGCCAAAATTGTCAAAAATGAGTTATGCATATCGTTGGAATCGGCTCGCTGAGATCTATCTCCCTATGAAACCCTTTTGTTTCTTTGGACAAAAATGAAGAAGATATTAACATTAATTTTTGGTTCTATCTCCATTTGATGCAAATTTATAAATCTTAGAGTGTTCTATCTCCATAATGTCCAATCATAATTTTTACATTTGGTCACGTGATCTTATCAATGAAAAACTTGATTGGGGAGGGGGGGGGTCACTGTGAAGGTACTTAAACTTATTCACATTTACTCTAAAATGTTTTAATTAATGATATGACAATAATAATCAAAGAAGTGTATTTCTGAGTTCAGAGTGAATAATGGTCACCTGAGAAGCATGAGTTTTTATTTAAAGCTATTGCCAATTTAGTACAAAAGAACTGCACCTCTGGTCTCACAAAGTTAGTTTTGAAACGCTTATATAATCACTTTTATGCAGCTTTCCTCTAAGAAATACAGGCACACTGTATAATAAATTTCAATGCAGGACCAATTTAGCCCCACCCTGAGGCTTGAGCGCTGGATACAAATGACATAGGTTTTAAAATTTTAAGAAAGGAATTAAGCACTTATGTTCATTAACAGTTGCCCATATTGCAATTGAGACTAAGTTTTGGTACCACAAGCCATAAAATTTACGGTTTTGTTAAGTAAACTACATGTGCAACATTTGTCTTGTACATGAGTAAAGAAATTTTTTCAATGTGTAAATCATTTTAATTTAAAACCAGTTTATTCCTATCCTGAGGTCTGAACAAGAGGCTATATTTTTTAGAGGGCTAAGTGTTTATAAAAATCATATTAAAAGTTGCCTGTTTATGTCCATCTTGTAATGTTTTTGCAATATGTAACCAATGACAACCATAAAAACTGAAAAACATTGACCCATGGACCTGGTTTCCACAGTTTTGGTAAAGGACAAAGTACGATTTATAGTTTAGCAAAGATGTCAATTATGAAAGGAGAAATGCTTCTTTAACAACCTTCTCCGTTATCCATTTCCATTAAATCCAAGGATGTCAGTGGTCATGAAAAATCGCAATTATATAATTTGTATGATTTAATATTCATACCTGTACATTTTTTATTCATTGATGATATACTATTATACCAAAATTGGTTGAAACGCATTCTAATTGCTGTTCAGGAGTATTCGTAGAAACTGAAAATTTTTAACAATTTATGTTTGATGGAGTTACGGACCAGAACAATGGAAGCAGCTGGTAGCAAAATCACCTTATCTTTTCAAAAAGGATCAGAGATTTTCTTTCTCCTTTTATTGTGATTTCTTTTGTTGTAAAATGATGTTTCTATATAATCAAAAATGCGCAATTGAAATTTATTGTAAAAAATCAATTGATTGCATTAAAAAAATTTTCTTTAGAGAAAAATTATTTGATTCTGAGGGGGCTGGCAGATTTTGGAAATAAATAAACTGTTTCGAAAATGTTGTAAATAAGTGATCTGTTATCTGCTTAATCTGTCCATCCCCCGGGAATAAGAGTTTTGGACTTTTAGTTTTTTATGCTTGTTAGAAATAATCTGTCGTTGATGTAATTGGAAATAGATAATCTGTCCTTTACCGACATGGATATAAATAATATGACTAGGTAAAATTTGCCACCACCCCCCTCCCAGACTTAAATAGACGCCCCTCACTATTTTCACATTAATGTTGTGTTCAACAAGTAAAACATTTTATCAGTTTTCCTCAAAAATAAAAAGTTCTATCTCAATGAGCATTTTGATTCTCACTAAAATGCACAAAAATTTTTGATAGAAAGTTCTATCTCCATTTTCAATGTAATTTTTTTCATATTTCTGCTCAAAACTATTAAATACTAAGTTGATTTTTCCATAGATTAGCATATTTTAGGCATTTATACCATATATCATAGTCCGAAAAGCTATGAGTAAAAAGATATTGATCTCCGAACTTCAACTTCAATTTCCCAAAATTTTGCAAAATTCACTTAGAACCTTATAATTCTCAGGCGACGATTTGACTTCTTTTCAAGAACCACTAAACCAAATTGAAATGAAGTTTCACATCTACTTCAAATGAAATATATGGAGATAACGAACAGTATTCATACTCAAAATAGGAGCAGAGCAGACACAGATCTCCAAAACATCAGAGTTGGGATTATGGACGTGTCATGGAGGAGTGAGCATCCCCTGCTGACCGGTCACAGCCGCTGTGTGCTCCTTGTCATGATCGGGAAATAACGGAAAAATCAGTCGACAATTCATTGTGTAAATAATGGCCTACCAATTACTAGTATTACAAAATATCAGTCAGCATTTCACTCAATGATAAATAGTAATTGCTGACAAGGTCATTGTATTGACTATACATGTAGAACGAAACGATGCCTTTTAACGAGACTGCTGATATTCTTGTTTAAACAACTTGTTTGTCAATAATTTAACTCGTTTTAGAAATTGTACATACGTAGAGCATGCTCTTGCTTATAGAATCAACTGAGAGATGTAAACCCCGTATGCAGGCTATGAATGTATATGCTGCATAAGTAAAGGAAATTGCCGATAGAAAAGTTAAAGTCCTCACGTTTATCATAAAGCTCTATTGCAAGACTACCATTTTTTTCTTTTAAAAGTAAAATATCCAAATAAGAAACGAATGTGTTAGACTCTGTGGTATCTTGTATCTCAAGCTCACCGGGATATATCGTATCAACATAAGAATGGAAATAATCATTGTTAATTGACAACACGTCGTATATCTTAATGCCGAGATGAAGGCCACAACTAGTGTTCTCTTCTTTTCACGTATAAAATTTTGGACACATTCTGCTTCATATGAATACGAAGGATAGGTATGATAATAACGGGGCGCAATTGGTACCCTTGGGATTCTAATAGATTTTTGGAAAGCCTAGTCTTTAAAAACCATAGCTGCAGATCTGTAGCTCTCCGAAAAAATATATATTGATAGACCGGAGAGCTATAGAGCCACTCATTGAAAAAACTGTATATTTATTGCGCACAAAAAAAATGCGTTTATACTGTCATTTTGGTGTCGAAGATAATTAGGTCCAATATGCTTCGTTCAGATGTCAACTACGAGAGAACTTGATAAAGGAGAGAGGAATTTTTTAGAATCTTCCATTTTTTGAAATTGAGGTAAGAATATGGAAGAATTAATAAAAAATCGAGCGCACTTTTTTGTGCGCAATAAATATACAGTTTTTTCAATGGGTGGCACTGTAGCTCTCCGGTCTATCAATAATTATTTTTCGGAGAGAAACAGATCTGCAGCTACAAAAACCACATAATGTCAATCAGAAAGTTATCATTTAATGTCAACTTCAGAGTACTTGTGTGTACAATCAGAATGTTTTTTAACAAAATAATACTGTAAATGACCAATGAAAAGGTAAGTAAATTATGCGTTCCATTATATTGATAAAGCAGGTGTCAAAGATATCAAAAAGCCTAGACTTCAATTTATGGTGGGAAATGGTTGACAAGTGTATAAAGTTGAAAAGTCGTGAGTTTTTTTTAAGATGTTGATTTTGATAAGTACGAAAGCCGGATAGGCTCATTTCTGAGAAGATAAAAAAAATTTAACTCATTATAACGAGTTAATTATCTCGTTATAACGAGTTAGTATCTCGTTATAACGACTTAGTTATCTCGTTATAACGAGTTAGTTATCTCGTTATAACGAGTTAGTATCTCGTTATAACGACTTAGTTATCTCGTTATAACGACTTAGTTATCTCGTTATAACGAGTTAATTATCTCGTTATAACGAGAAAATTAACTCGTTATAACGAGTTAGTATCTCGTTATAACGACTTAGTTATCTCTATATAACGAGTTATTTATCTCGTTATAACGAGTTAATTATCTCGTTATAACGAGAAAATTAACTCGTTATAACGAGTTAATTTTTCTCATTATAACGAGTTAATTTTTCTCGTTATAACGAGTTAATTTTCTCGTTATGACGAGTTAAAAACTGATATAAAGTTGATATATCTAAGTGATAGGAAGTATAGTAGTATAACGTATAAAACCGAGTTGATCAAGTTTGTTTATAGTGTGTATGATAAAGATGTTTATTGAAAAACAGCAAACTAGTTTTTCTTTTTTTTTTCTCGAGGGGTTGTGCCTGTGATTGTATTCTGTTTATGTATAAACGATGCAGTTGATTTGTATTGTATACTTAAAAGACCGAAGACAAATACATGTACATGTATACGGAAACTTATGACTGCCTCTTGAGGCAGTAGCCCCCGAGTTTTACGCCCATGGCCTCATTGCTGATGTCTCCATATCCCACTTCTTCAAAACATTTCTGACTCTCAAAATAATACATATCACACTGTAAGTGTATATAATATATGTTGCATTAACGCCTGCGTTAGCTTCCTATTATAATGTAT